TCTCGCCCGGGAGAGTTACCTTCAAGAAGCTCGGGCTGGACGCCTTCCGCCAAAGTTATTTTGTCTTTCGATCTTTTCTTTTCTTTTCTTTCTTGGTTCTTTGTTTTTTTTTTTTCTGTTTCGTGTCTTTTTTTTCTTTCCCCTCCTCTTTCCCTTTCCTCTGTCCCTGTCTCTTTTCTCTTTCTCTTTCTCTCTCTCTTTCTTTTCTTTCTCTCTCTTCTTTTCTTTCTTTTTTCTTTCTTTCTGTCTCTCTCTCTCTCTTCTTCTCTCTCTTCTCTTTCTCACTCTCTCTCTCTCTCTCTCTCTCTCTCTCTCTCTCTCTCTCTCTCTCTCTCTCTCTCTCTCTCTTCTCTCTCCTCTCTCTATCTATCTCTATCTATGTCTTATTATCTTCATTATATTTGATCTTCTCTTTTTCCTTTATTCTCCTCCCTGTCCTTCCGATTTTCCTCGGGGATTCCCCTGGTGCCGCTCTGTCCCCTTTTTTGTCTTTCTTGGAGTCATTCTCGCTTTTATTTACCTGTCACATTTTCGACCAGCGGTTCTTATTGCTCTCTTTCTCGTTTCCTCTCTTTTCTTTCCTCTTATCTTCTTTCTTTCTTTTTTCTTTTTCTTTCTTTTTTCTATTTTTTTCGTTCTGTCTTTTCTTGTCTTTTTTTGGTTCTTTCTTTTTCTTATTTTCTTCTTCTTTATTTAATTTTCTTATTTTCTTCTTTTCTTTCTCTTTCTTATTTTCTTTTTTTTCTTTTCTTTCTTTCTTTTTCTTTTTTGTTTCTTTGTTATTTTCTACCTTTCTTTTCTTTCTTTTTTCTGTCTTTTTTCTGTCTTTCCTTCTTTTGTTTCTTCTCCTTTCCTTTTTCTATCTTTTCTTTCTTTATTCTTTTTCTTTCTTTCTGGATCAAGAGCTTTAAATAATTTGGGCGTAAATGAGAAACCCGGGATCCTCAATCCTCCTCCTCCTCCTCCTCCTCCTCCTCCTCCTCTCCTCCTCTCCCTTGACAATGCAAAATGAGCGTATTAATTAGATTCATCCTTTCATGCACCTTCCAGCCGGAGACGAGCAAAATAAAAGAGAGAGGGAAAGGAGGTGGGGAAGAAAAGAAGAGAAAGAGGGAGGGAGAGGAAGGAAAGTGAAGAGTTGGAGAGTGAGAGTGAGGAGGTGAAGGAGTGAGAGGAAAGAAGAGAGAGAGATAGAGAGAGAGAGAAGAGGCGATAGATAGACGGAAATAGCAACGATTTGGAACAGAAGCAATGAGTATCCCCCACCCCCCTCTCCCCCCCAGTAAAAAAAAAAAAGGGATTTTGCAAACAGCCGAAATAAAATTTTTGCGAATGCATCGATATATACGTTTTTTTTCCTTCGTTTATTGGCGTGACTTTCCTGACAATTTCGAGAGGTTATCGATGAGGCAATTGACTTGTGGAGGGCGGGCGTGCCGGAGGGGGGGGGGTGGAGGGGGGCGGAGGAAGGGGGGGGGTATAAGGGTCGCTTATTAAAAATGTTGGACTTCTTTCCGGGGTTTATTATCGAGGAAATAATATTCCCATTTTGTCGCGCTCCGTTCGAGCATTTGTGGTTCCTCTCGCTAGTCTTTGGTTTCTCTTCATCTTCCTCTTCTTCGCTCTGTGTATCTCTGTTTGTTTCATATTCGTCTTTTTAAGATCTCTCTCTCTGTGTCTCGTCTCTCTCTCTTCTCTCTTCTCTCTCTCTCTCTCTCTCTCTCTCTCTCTCTCTCCTCTCTCTCTCTCTCTCTCTCTCTCTCTCTCTCTCTCTCTCTCTCTCTCTATCTCCTCTCTCTCTCGCTTCTCTCTCTCTGTCTATCTGCTCTCTCTCTCCTCTCTCTCTCTCTCTCTCTCTCTCTCTGCTATCTCCCTCTCTCTCTCTCTCTCTCTCTTCCTCTTTCTCTCTCTCTCTCTCCCTTTCCTCCCCCTCTCTCTCCCTCTCCCTCTCTCTTTCTTTCAATCCCTCTCTCACTCCCTCCCTCCCTCCCTCCCTCCCTCCCTCCCTCCCTCCCTCCCTCCCTCCCTCCCTCCTTTCCCATCATCAAAAATGTAAAACATATTCTTCCTCATTATTACCATTGTTTACATGTTCAGTTGTCATGTTATTTCGTATGTCCGTGTGCGTATGCAGGAAAAAATCTTTTTCTTTATGAATGCAAAGCTCGCATTAGACCGCATATTTTAAGAAGTAAAGTCTGAAGTTTTCGTATTTCGAACATGCTGATGCTCGACATTTTTCTCCTTCCCTTTTCTTCTGTTTCTCCGTTTCTCTTCGTGTGGTTGTCGGAGAAAATCTTTACCTCGCTAGTGTTTTCTTTCTCCCATACTTCATTTTATCCTGATTTTTTTTTTATACTTTTCTCTCTCCTCTTCTTCCATCTCCTCGTTCGAGTCTGTTGTGCGTTCCTCCCTCCCATTTTTGCTTATTTACAGTTATCGTGCGTTTCTTCGTTCCGCCTCTTCTTGCAGTATTTTAATGTCTGTTTTTTTTACTCTGTTTGTCTCGCGCGACGTAAAGATTTTGTGTTGACTCGGATAATGAATTGTTTTCTCGCTTTAAACTTTTGCGTTACTTTCTGTGTTCAACTTTTTGGTTATCTTTTCGATTTATTTTCGCTCATTCCCGTTTTGAAATCTTGAAGTGAATCAATAACATATTTTCATTCTTGTTTGCCTCTCTCTTTGATTGGCAGGCCTCGAGAGAGAGAGAGAGTAAAGAGAGAGAGAGAGAGAGAGAGAGAGAGAGAGAGAGAGAGAGAGAGAGAGAACGAATGAGAGAGAGAGAGACGAGAATGAGAGAGATGAGAACGAGAGAACGAGAACGAGAACGAATGAGAGACGAGAACGAGAACGAGAACGAGAGAACGAGAGAGAGAGAGAGAGCGAGAGCGAGAGCGAGCGAGCGAGCCGGAGATAAGTAGGTTGAAGTAAAGCCAACATGCAATGGGATGAAGCAATAGCGTTTACTTGGACACGTGCCTCGGTGTTTTATACGGTGTTGATGAGCTTCAGAGTAATGTAATTAACTCCTTTTTCATCTCAACCGAAGTTTAATTAAACTGTTTCATCTGATGCTTTCAATTACGTTTGTAATGCGAGGAGTATGATGAGAAAATAAAGAAAAAAGGTATTAGAACAATGGAGATGGAGTAAGAATAACAAAGAGAAAAGGACGCTTGCTTACTCCTCCCTCTCTCTTCCCGCAGGTGGCAGTGATGAGTCGCAGGTGACGCCAGAGAGCCGAGAGAGGGACGACCAACAGCGCTGTCTGTCGGCTTCGGGGAACGACCTCCGCTCTGCCCGGACGGAACGCCTCCACGACCCCCGCCAAGTGCCCGGAAGGAGGCCCCAGCGCGAGAGTGAGCGGCGCGACGCGGCCGTAGCGGACCTCCGCCTTCCCCTTCCTCCTCCTCCTCCTCCTCTTCCTCTTCCATCTGCTTCGCCTCCTCCTGCAGCAGGATGGTGTTCATCAAGACGATGCTGGTGCGGCGGCGCGGCGTGCTGCTGAAGCTGGTGGTGGCGCTGCCGGCGCTGTGGCTGCTGGTGAGCCTGGCCACGCTCTCCGAGAAGGCGGACAAGGGCGACGCCATGGACCTCCCGGCCGCCGTGCAGGTGCGCCACGAGCAGAACAAGATCATCCGCAGCGACCCCGTCAAGGAGCCGCCCCCGCCGCCGCCGCCCGTGCACCCGCGCGCGCCCGCCGTCGTCGAGAAGCAGCCGCCGCCCCCGCCGCTGGAGGTCAAGACGCACACCAAGACGGAGGAGCCGCACGAGGTCAGTATGGGCGTGCGTTTCGCTCTCTCTCTCTCTCTCTCTCTCTCTCTCTCTCTCTCTCTCTCTCTCTCTCTCTCTCTCTCTCTCTCTCTCTCTTCTCTCTCTCTCTCTCTCTCTCTCTCTTCTCTCTCCCTCTCTCCTCTCTCCTCTCTCTCTCTCCTCTCTCCTCTCCCTCTCCCCTCTCCCTCCCTCTCCCTCTCCCTCTCCCTCTCCCTCTCCTCTCCCTCTCCTTCTCCCTCCCTGTCTCCCCTCTCTTTTCTCCCTCTCCGGCTCTCCTACTCTCCTGCCTGCCTCTCTGTCTCCCTCCCTCCCTCCTTTGTTCATCCTTGGTCTGCCTCTCCCTTTTCATCTCCTTCCTGTCATTTTTATCCCTATGTTAAGAGCGTCCGTTCAAAAAACGAGTAGAAAGAAAGTTCGTTGTTCAAAGCCTGGCTTCACAGAGCAAGGCAGATCACGCCCCCCTGGCACCGGTCACTGGCTCCCTCCTGGACCTGTGATGTATGCAGACCCACTTTTTGAGCCTGTTATTACGTCTTAGAAGTGTACGTTTTGCGAGTCCTTTTGAATTTTAAAAGGAGCAAATAAAAGGAAAATTTTATTATTATGATCTCATTTTTCGTCGTCGTCCTCCTCCCGAGCGAGCTCAAAAGGACAAGGAAGGAAGTTCTTTTCGACTGAGCCCCTTTTCCTCTCTCTTTCTCCCGAGCAGGTGCACCCCCAGCAGGGCGTCCTCTTGCCTCCCCAAGAGCCCAACGGCCCCGGGGAAATGGGCAAGCCCGTGGTGCTCCCGAAGGACCTCGATCCCGAGACCAAGAAGAAGGTGGACGAAGGGTGGAAGAACAACGCCTTCAACCAGTACGTCTCCGACATGATCTCCGTCCACCGCTCCCTGCCCGACCCGCGCGACGAATGGTGAGTACGAGGGAGTAGGAGCCAGAGGAAGATTAAGCGCGAGACGTGAAAGAAATACATGGATTGATGAGTACAAAGTTGGGGTCATTGATAAATAGATAGATGAATTAACGAATAGAAATTTTGATGAATTAACTGATAGGAACTTTAATGAATTAACAAATAGAAAGTTAGATTAATCAAGAAATATATGATCGACATTCCTGAAGATGAATACATATTGGGTTGCAAAGACTGTATGTGGGTGATATTTGATATATTTTGAAAAGCAGCTGAAAGCGTGACACTCACTCACAGATGAACGGTGTACT